AAGATGGTAGCTACAGAATTAACAAGTTCAGCACATTTCTTAGCACTTGGAAATAAGCTGAGAGACTTGGGTCTGCTCTTCTAAACAGGGTGTAACTAGGGATGTCCTAGTGCATATAATATATTTGCCCTACATATGCAACAAATTCTTCATGCTAAATAGCTGACCGAGCTCCACCTGAAATTATAGAGAGGGCTGGTGCTGGAAGTCCCAGCATGAGATAAGCAAATAAGACTGATAGCAATGTCAACATATTTCTGGTAACAAGTATTAGGTGGTACTGCTAACAGTGATAATACAAGTCAAGACAACAGTATTTATTTCTTTTTCCATATCACTGTTCTAGCCCTCTCCCTGACAGCTTAATACCATTCCTTACTTTTCATAGCAATACCTCTCACCACGTCTACCTTAAGTGGCGATCACATGCCAGAACCGCACTCTTCAGACGTGCTGGAACAGTGCATGGACCCACCCAAGCTCTGAAGTTTGACAACACTGCTTTACATTCCCCATATTCTTCCGTTAAACCACAATACTGCATTTGTCAAAGGACATGACTTGCCAAATTGATCAAGGTATCTTGCTAATGAACTGACCTGCTACCCCCTTCACTGTTTTAACTGTTTTCCCTTACTCTTGTATTTCCTTTCAGTTTTGGTTCTTTTCCTTGATATTAATCCTCCGAAAATGACAACTGGTAAGTGTCATGAGACCTCTTTGGACAGGCAAGTCATCAAAACTCTTGACCATCTAGCACCTGGAAGTAGGATGACATTAAGAAATGCCTTGTTTCAATTTCTAATTGGTATGTTTAGACGTTTCTCGGCTCACAGGCTCACAGAACAGTTGGGGTTCGATGGCACTTCTGGGGGTTCATCTGGACAACCCCCCTGCTCAAGCAGGACCACCCAGAGCCAGTTGCCCAGGACCATGTCCAGATGGCTTTTGAATATCCCCAAGGATGCAGACTCCACAACCTGTCTGAGCAACTTGTGCCAGCGCTCGGTCACCCTCACAGTAAGAAACTGTTTCCTGATGTTCAGAGGGAACCTCCTGTGTTTCAGTTTGTGCCCATTGCCTCTGGTCCTGTCACTGGGCACCAGTGAAAAGAGCCTGGCTCCATCATCTTTGCATCCTCCCTTCAGGTATTTATAAGCATTGATGAGATCCCCCCCGAGTCTTCTCTTCCCTTGGTTGCACAGTCCCAGCTCTCTCAGCCTCTCCCCCACAGGAAAGATGCTCCAGTCCCTTCATCATCTGAATGGCTCTATGCTGGACTCTCTCCAGTATGTCCCTGTCTGTCTCCTACTGAGGAGCCCAGAAACCGGAGCCAACACTCCAAGCATGGCCTCATCAGTGCGGAGCAGAGGGGAAGGATCACTGAGCATGCCCAGCACCGTGAATTTAACTCCAGGGGTGAGCGCGCAAGGGCTCGCTGTGGGTGCTGTACGCGGGTGAGAGGCTACGCATGCAATCATGTGCAGGAAGGATAGCCATTGCAATCACACCAGCACGTCTTTTTTGTGCATCTGTTCTCTCAAGCAAACTTTCTGAAACTGCTAACATATTAATTCATCTACTCTTTGCCACAATCATTCTGAATTTTTATTTTCTTTTTCCTGTTTCTCTCCATACTCTTTAGAGGACTTTATGGAAAGGAAATGTATATCAATGTCTACAAGAAAGGAAGTAGCTGGAACTGACTACACTGTATCGGGAACAATACACCTATATTATATAAAGATTGTGATTTCCCTTTCCTAAGATACGTTTGTGAATGGAAGTCAAACACGCGCTGACCTTTTTTGCTATTACATCACTCAGAAAACACATCTGCTGTCTGCAATCATCACAAAGGGGTTTTGTTATGTTTTTTAAACAAAGGCAACACAATGTACTTTTTCCTTAACCTCAATGTAGAAGTGTTTTGCCTGGAAATTTTCCTAATAATTCTGCCTGAGGCAAACACTAATATACAGTATTTCAGACTGATAACTGTGCAGAAGTTAATAGCGCTGTAAACAAGTTCCCAACACAGAAGGTGTCAGAAACTTTACAATCTGCATCACTACCATTTCTATATACAATAGCATTTAAGGCATTAGCTGCTTCACAGTTCCCCAAACTAGTCTTCTCGCCCACATAAAATTAAGGATTATTGAGGATAATTATCAGGGCTGCTATTTTTAGGATTAACATATTAGCTGACCTACATCCTAGTCTTTCTGTCACATTTTCAAAGATCACCATGTTAGCTCACATTTAAGAACTGAGTAGATTTTACGATATCAGCGTCTCACTGACTTTGCTTTTAACTTACGTTCAAATATGTTCAGGTGTAAGTACTTTTTAAACTCCTAAGTGAAAATAGACAGATAGAGAGGTGTCTCAGTAAAACATGACTACCCTCCATAAAGGAAGAAATCTCAGTGCACCTTCAGTTCTCTCACTAACGTGGCATGTATTCCTTGGTTTACTACACATGCTCCTTAGTTTCCATTTTAAATTACTTCAAGGCAAGACCATCTGCAGCCAGAGAGCACTCTGGATGCTGTCAATTTGACAAAGTTCTCTTGAGAAGAAAGGCAGAAGAGAGCACTTGCTGTTTGTAAACAAGCTGTATATTTACATGCATTGAGCCATCTGAAAACAATAGAGGTTAGAGCTATTTGGGTACTGAAAACCGAATGACAGAAGTCGTGGGTCTTTGACTACAGACATAGAGGCCTCAAGCTTCAGTGACTGAACCAATCCACTACACTTTCTGCCCAGAGAGGAAGACACAAGGATCACAACTCTAATAGAGAATGCGAGGTGTATTTTCATCCTAGAAGATTACCCCTTTTCACTCATGGAGTCCCACAACAGGCTGCACAACCATTTTACCTGTGCATTCCATCGCATTTATCCTTCTCAGGCTTCAAATCAAGATGCCTTGTAAAGGAGTGACCATATTTCACGTTCGCTTCTAAATCTTCCCTTGATCTCCTTTATGCTCATTGACTAAACCCCAAATTTAAGTGCATGGCTGGAGAGTAACCCCCTCTGCAGCACAGAAGGCGACCCTGATGAATCGCACAGAGCTCCTCGGAGGCTGCAGTCCCCCTCCCTCCTGTTTCACTGCTTGGATTCCTTTGTTTGGTAAAATAGGTCAGTGCTCATAAAAACACCCCTCCAGGGCTGCCTGCCTCACATGACCACAGCAGCCAACTAAAAGGAATACAAACGCTAACATGGGAGCAGCTGATTCACACAACTTTCATGAGCCCTGGAGAACTGAAATAACACACACAGACCAAACTGTAAGCAAAGGGACTACAAGATGAGTCAGGAAAACATGAATGCGTATTGCCTGTCTGAGAGCGCCAGCAATCCCGAAATAGACTGCAACAGGCTCTATGAATATCTGGCTGCACAAAACTGGTGTCTTCAGAGGAAGATAAACAGGGGACGCTACAATCCTGGTCAATACAACATAACCTCCATCTCATAACCTAATTCAGTCTGGTTAACAGCTCTGCCCCATCCTTAACATCCTCTGTAGATATGCAACCCATGCATCCTTTCTTACCTATACTGCCAAGGATGACACTCGTGTTTTTGAAGTGGTATTTTCTGGAAAAAGTTGAGTGACAGCAACTGCAGTCTGAAAACAGCTTAAATACAACAATGCCTTTCAGAGGTGACGACAGATTCACTTTACTACCCCACCCAGGTACACACAGAAACTGAAATATCAAAAATGAAGTTTTGAGACTAGGATCAAGGCCTCACTCCTGTGGCTCCAAAACAAAGAAAAAATTGCTATTCAGTGTTAAAAAAAATAAATATTAAAGGGAACTGAAATGTAATGTCCAGTTTCAGATCAGAGATAGCAGCTCCACAGGAAACCCACGGGGTTGAAGGAGACAACCGGTGAAAGGAAATCTCTTTCCCAACACTTTTTTCAGATTCTTTGTTGCTTTAAAAAAAAAAAAAAAGAAAATTGCATCCTGTACCTTTCCCAGACTAAGTCTTTATATGATCTAACACTGGACATACAATTTGTTCCAAGATTCAAGACACTGAGCTCAGCAAATCAGTTAGAGGCTGGCAGTGCTTAGTAGCCAGAGGTATAGCGCCGCACAAATGCAACTGCACTGCTCACAGGGCCCACCTCATTAGAGAAGTATGACAACCATCGTTATGCCGCTCACGCGAATAAGGTACACCAGATCTCTGCTGGCTCTGCACTTTGCAAGGTTAGATGTCTCCATGCTAACATCTCACTTAAAAACTCCAGTTTCAAACTTTGGGTAAAGCCCTGCTGAGTTTCAATTGAATTAACCATGTACGTATGCAGTACTGCAGGAAATTTAGTGAGATGTACTGGAAGCACACAGGCGAGCACCCAAACCAGCTCTGGAGAAGACAGTTCTGGTTCAGAAGTATTACCTGGGATCCTCCTTCACTCAAATTGTTTTAGCCAATTATTTGGCTAGATACAAAACAACCGACTGCGATGCTAGTGGAAAATACACAATACTACTGTGAAATACACAAGCCACACACATAGGAAAGACTTCTATCCATACGGGGTTGTCATTTCAAATGAGATGTACTGGAATCTTCCCCAATAGGGAATCTTTGTCTTTCATAAACACCAATACTGGGTAGTTGACTGGAATTAGCATAGTGCTGTGTAGAATACAGTATACTGCCTGTTATCACAGAAACTTCTGGACTCTTGTAATACTGATGACCTTAGGGTTTAAGCTAAGGGGCACAAAACAGTTTTCATATTTATCATATGGTAAAAGCGGGAACAGTATCAAAGTTTCTGCTATCCTTCAAAACCAGAAAACAAGTCTTTTCAGAAGTACTGAAAAGTGTAGTAACCTTACTTCAGCAGTTTTACAGAGACTCTTCGGAAAATGTAATAGTGGAAAACTATTTCTGCCAAAATATAGTGACATGTGAGTTCCTCAGGATGTTATCGAATCATATCACTACATTACCTTCCGCTTTTGTGTAGATTGAGATGTTTCCATTTACCAAGCCAGCAAACAAGTAGTGAGACATGTATGTTAAGCTCATAACAGTTGATTTTTCAGGAGTGAAGAAGTGTTGAAGCCGAATTTTCTTTGAGCCTTGGCAACTTTTGTAAATAGAAATGCTATAAAAAAGAAGCAAGAAAAAATAAACTCGTGAAATTATGTTTTATTTAGTTCTTACGAGCATATGCACAAAAGAGGTTTAGAATAAAATATTGGGGGGGGTGTGTGGAAATATTTTCTCCTTCCATTCATAGGAAGATGAGTATGGAAAGGGGTATCTTGACCCTCCAAAATGTCTATGCAGACAATTTTCAATTACTTAACATTGACATATGACAACACTTTTTGTATTATCTCGTCTGGAGAAACATTTATTCAACAGAGACACATAATCAAAATTCTGCTCAAAGTCCTGATTGTGAGTCTATCCAAAACTTTCTGGTAGTTTAAAAAAAGATAGATTAAGTATTACCTGGAAAACTAGGGAAAAGAGAAGAAAAACTCACTACAAGACATCAGTTATACTTAAAATTCCCACCATTCCTACAGATTATTACCATGGGTATGTTAGGAATATTGAATAGTTAAATCTGGAATTATTTGCACTTCAAAAGCAAAGATAATCAGTACAATTAGATGTTGGAGTTTCTGAAGAGATAGCATTTTCCTTGGAGAATTTTGTTCTTCTTCATTTAAACTAGTTAGAAAACCCTCAAAAAGCATACATGCTTATGCCCTCACAAGATCTGTTTGCTGATTGATCTGTAAGTTTAGAAAACATAGCTTTGTTCTTCAGTATAAAATCAAGTGATGACTCAAGTAAGCTCATCAGTTCAAACAGAGTAAAATAATTCATGGCAATAGTAAACAGCAATATTGTTTATTCGCATGACAAGTCCTGCACAATATCACAGTGTAGAAGGTTAATGGGTTCCTCATTCAGAATTTGCCCTTCTGAAAATTTTCCAATACTTAAAGATTATGTTGTAATATCACAAAAGTAATATTTATATTTTTGTTATGTTGTAACATTACAAAAGTAATATTTGTATTTTTCAGACATGATGTATGATGAATTAATCCTCTTTCATCAAACGTATGCATTATTTTAATTTCAAATAGTACATAGTGTATTTTAAAATCAAGCAGAGTTTATTTTTTCCTTGGTTTATGTGGGAAGGATAAGTTGAGGTCACTGGGATATCACATGGGTACTTTTATTAAAAATAAAACATTTCCTTGGAAGTATCTCACACAATTTTGCTATAGGGTAGTAAGCCTAATGAATAAATCATACACAGAACACAAAAAATGAGAATCACCTTCCTTCTTCCATGCCAAGGCAAATAGTAGGCACATTAGAAGCTTTTGCAAGAACATCTTCACAGTCAAGAGCCTTGTTTTGCTCTTTCAGTTTCTCCTCCTCTGGTATGTAGACCATGCAGAGAATCCGTGATTCCACATTGAAGCACTCAATAACCTTGGGGCTGGAGCTTTGAAATGAGACTATTGCAATCTGGCCCATCTGATTAGTACAACTGCCAATCTGAATTGGAAAAGGGGGAAGAGAAAAAAAAAAAAAAAAAAAAAAAAAAGACAACCAAGGCTGATACCTGTCTCCAGGAAGATCAGCATTTACAAGAAAGAATGACTGGAATGCTAACTGAAGAGTGCATCTGAAATTAATATGCGTGCATATGAGTTTTCATGCATTAAGACATAAACAAGAAAATAATTCAGCACAAATACAAGAGATTTCAAAACATTATATATGCAAAATTCCCTTGTATACTCACAAAACCAGTTCTTTTTTGAAAGGGGGAATATCATGGCCTATTCTGATGTCTGACTCATACATATATACATAATGTAATGCAACTACAATAAGTACCTGTGTAATGTATTATTTTAATAACCAGTGTTCTAATTATCTCAGATTCTCTTAAAACAGGTAATCTAGCTGAAGCCTGTCCTTTGCACAGTAACAGGTCTACAAATAAATACTATGTCCCAACAGAAAGAGGGATTATTAATACAGTCCCTTTTGTACACTTGCTGATAGAGGATCCTAAACTTCTCCCTGATCCAGAACTAAGTATCATCAATATGTCCACAAATTTGTACATTTTAGGGATCTGGGAAGAGTAAAAAAAAAAGTCTGCCAAAACAGCAGTACATGGGTTTATATAGTAAACCTTTATGTTTATATGAAATGAAAAAAAAACAGAGCTAAGAGAAAAAAGAACATTTTGTGGCATTATAAAGCTTTTAGTGGCATAGATTTGTGATGACTTTATGAATAGCATAGACAAAAAGGAATTATATGGATCACCTTGGAAAAGACCACTGACAAAATCTATTTCTAACTTCTACTTTTAATTCTTAAGGGTTCCCTTAAAATTTCAGTACTGTAGTAACAAGAAAATCTACTGAAATCATTAGCTTTTTTTTAAAAAAAAGTATTGGTGATCTCACTTTGTCTGCTGGAATATCTGCATATTTGGGGTCATAACAATATGCCAGAATAGTTTTGTTGTTTTTTTTTTCCCCCCTATGTACAGACTTCGATTATTTATGGCTAAAACATTTTTAAAATATGGAAACAGACAATAGGACAGTGTGAGCTTATATGGGTTGTAGCAGCCCTCATTATAAATTAGCACATAACTCACTTCTGAATGTGCTCAGCACTCTGGAATTTGTTCTGTGCCACACTAACAAATCACACACACATAAGTGACACCCTACAGAGAACAGCAAGATCACATGGATGAAATTACTAGCTATCCTTTACAGAAGTCCATCTTAAAACAAACCAAAAAAAACCCCTAAAACCAACCCAACGCAAACAGCAAAGCACAACCCAAAATTTATTTCAGATCTATATGCTGTTGAGAGTCACAAAAACCAATGCAGAGAAACAGGAGACAATCCCCTTTTTAGCTTTTAAAGATTATGCTTACCCAAAGAAAACCATGTTCCATGGCACAGGAATCTGATTCCATTTCACCAGAGAGGTACGGTTCAGGATTATAAGCAGCACATTCAATCTTCAAACAAAGCAAAAAAAGAGCAGTTACTACATTAAAAAGATATGCCTGTTTCTGCCTAATTCAGTCTGTGATTAACTAAAGCATTTAAAAATATCAAAGAATCACAGAAGGCAAGAAGTCAGTTTAGTCCATCCAGCTTCACACGGACACGTGTGCTGTTCCAGACACATTCCTTATCTACTCTTGCAGACAGTAAAAGCCAAAGACTACAAATTCTCTAGCTGATCTGCTCAAATGCTCCATGACCTTTATTAAGTTTTTCCAAGCACTCATCCTAACATCATCCCTGCACCCCTGCTGTAATTGTTAGTCTGTTACTTCTCATCTCAGCCACCAGGTACTTCTCTTCTGCAGTGTCCTTTTATGTACAAGGCTGATAGATGTCATAACCCTGCCCAAGCCTCCTCTTCATTAGGCTAAATTAACATTATCACTTTAATTAATTAAATATAAAAAAAAATTGTGGGGTTTTGTTCTTGTTTTTAAAATTCTTGATTATCATCACTTTTCCAGCTGGCATCTCTCCAGCAGATACATCAGCTCAGTGTATTTTAGAGTGCAGAACTTTCTCACCTGAACACACTATTCTAGCAGAGCTGTTAGCAGCACTACATCACGATCACCTCTTCTGAAGCCCGTTTGTACACATCCCATTGATTATTTGCTCTTTGTAACAGTATTACATTCTTAACCAATCCTTAGCTTGCTATTAAAAATTACTTTTACAGACCTTCTACTCAACCACCACCTCAATCTATACTTGCGAAGCTCTTTATTTCTGCCTCAGCATACCAGATGTCTGTCCTACTGACTATCATCCCTTTTTGGTTTTTTTTTTTGCTTGCTTGTTTGGGTTTTTTGTGGTGGGTTTTTTTTTTTTTTTGGTTTTTTTTGTGGGGTTTTTTTTTGGTTTGTTTTTTTTTAATTTTTCCCCTCAAATTATTTCTCCAGGTGCTTCACTCATTTTGAATGCAAATGCCATAATCCATAATACTTCTACTCCCTCCCAACTTCATGTCATCATGTTGCTGTCAGTAAATTAATACCATACTCATGATTTTATCATGCAGGCAATTTAAGAAAAACCTGAAAGCTACACCAGACTCAAGTTCTGTATTTTAGTCCCTCCCAACTCTGAAAAACATTTAAGCACCAAGGCTTTGAAAACAGGCATTTTTATGAGCAGTCATGGATTTCTATTTTCCCTAATTTCCCTAATACCCATGGCAGAACTCCCTAAAGCTTATGTAAACACTTTAAAATATATACAAGCTGAGAGAGAATAAAAAGGTTTCTGATGAGGTGGAATACTACATTTTTAGATAAGATTCTCTATAATTCACACTAATGTTCTCGTCTCAGACTTCAATGTCATTGCGATTATATTGCAGCACTAGAGACAATTTGGTTAATATTAACTTAGACAACTTCAGCATAACTTGGCAACATCACCTCCCAACGGTGAATAACTTAAAAAAAAAAAAAAAGGAAATGAGCAGGCATAAGTTAAGAGTTCTAAATCCCCAGTTTATTTAAGTTTCAAAAGTGCAAAAAATTTCACAAGTCTCCATGAAGCAGTAGTAAAAATAATGTTATGTATTCACCAAAGCAATTAACTATAAGGATAAAAGATGGAAACCAACAGATGAGGAAAAAAAAAAGAAAGAAGGGCTATCCATGCCAGTCTTAGCATGTCTCATTTAACACATGCTGAAGCTATCTACTTGTAGTGGTGATTTATAGTAGCTGTGGCAGCTAAGTACATCACTAGTGAAAGAAAAGACAGCCTGCACAGTGAATATTTCTCGAGCTGCTTGTTACATCTCTGTGTTACTTTGCATCTTAGTCAAAACTGATGATGTTTTTCCATAGTTAAACCCTGGTACCTTAACACTCAATCTTGACAGAAGCCCTTTGCCCAGGGTGTAAATTTGGTCTGATGGAAGAATTTGTTACAGGCTCTTTACACCACCAGGCTGCCTGAGCAGCACTCAGAGGTAACAAGCAGGATCAGGCAAGAAAAGGGTCTCTTCCCATCCCGAGCTGTGGCCTGACACCCAAACTGCAGCTGAGGCTGCAGAAAACCACCAGTAATACTTAGATCATCTTTTCCAGTAATACCAAGGACATTGGAGCATCAGGAATGACAGCTGGGCTCTCATACCCACGTTATCTTTAGGAGCTGCCAAACTGACAAAGGTGACCCAGAGCTCAGGCAAATACTGCCACACGCTGTGTTCTCCTGAGGTGACCAAGGCAAAGACCATCACCCAACAGTACAGGCAACAGATTTGCCTTTACTTTCAAAGCAAGCAGATCCTGTTGTAACTTGATTATGGGAATTGAGCCTGGGCCTTCAAGGCTCCTGGCATGGACCTACAGGACTTGCAAATGCATAGGATCTAAGGAAACATAAATATTTTAAGTTCCTGCAAAAAATTAAATTAGCTTGGTTATTTCACTAGTGGTGATTTTAGGAAGTGTTCAAGGCAGAAAAAAGCTGACTGTTTACTAAGATAAGAATGACTACAGTTGTATGGGAGACTGGAGACTTTCAGTAGACTTTGGCTGCTGCAAACCACAGCTCTGCTCTGAAAACCTGTATCATAGGAATGGCCTGATTTAACACCATTACACATTTCAACTGCATTTCCAGCTAGCAATTATTTCCCCCCAACATCCAGGCCTGTATACTCACACTGGAAGTGAAGCTGCCAGCTGAACTTCCCTCCTGCACAGGCTGTCCTAGCAACGAGGGTCTGCAGACTTACTGCTTTAAGGAGTACCCATGTGATGATGTTAATTGAACATTGGGATTCTGGCCATACATATACAATTTTATTTCCATTAGTGTTCTTGCACAAGCCCAACTGACTGATGGTCAATAAGAAATCCTGTTGATGCATAGGAAAAAATAGTATCCAGCACCCTTCCCTTCCATCTGTTGGTCTGCATATGCTGTATTATTTTCATCATTAAAGCCAGCGGTCAGTAGGACTTCAAACTGACATATTACTTTAGGAAATTAACCGTTAAGACAATTTCTGTATCACTGTTCAGAATAGAACTGTATTTTATATAAGACCCCATAAACTGAATTTTTTATCTCTGTGCACTAATGAAAATCAGAAATTTGAGGAGGATTCAACATAGTTACACCAGTACAGGACAGCTATCATGGAGATCAGATTCCTGTACTTTGTAAGCTGCAGGTTACTTTGGAGCCTCAAAGCACTTGGAAACCTCAAGGCCAATTCAAAATTCCCAGCAGTTTTGTTTCACTGAGTGATGAGCTTACATCTGAATGTTATACTACATAAAAGTAAACACTATGTTCCCTAGTGCCTCAAAGATCGCAGTATTTTGCATTCATGTGACCCTCTTGCACCTTCCATTACTACTGCTCTTACACCAAGGCAGTAATTCAAGAGAACTAATAGATGTGAACTGATAGATGTGTTTACAACATGGTATTCTTTTAGCAGTTATATCACACAAGAGAAAGAATTGTAATCACATATAAAAATTCTGTTCACCTTAAACTCCTGCTGCTTGGCCATCATCACTGGCATGTGTCTAACAAGGAGAGGATGTTTCTCCTTTTTGATTTGATTCCCATCATCTTCCACACAGAACCAACCTAACAGGTTATCCTCTGCTGTAATGGAAAGAACAAACACAGTACTTTCACTGAATAATCACTTACACCTCTCTACAGGAATAGAAAAGAATTCTGTTAGGATTGGTTAATACTGGTGAGGCTGTTCTTACGCCATACGTGCATAAATGACAACATAAAACTATGAGCAAAAATTCAGTATAGTAGGTTACATACATATTGATAGTGCAAAAAAGAGAACACCTTACACTAGGAAAAAGTTAAGGGTGCTCTCTTAATGATCTTGTCAGTAGGTTTCCTCTTGTCAGTAGTCAAGAGGAAAAGGCACATCAAACCTCTTCTCAGACTCTAGGAAACCTGGTTTTCAAATAGCATTTCTCTGCCTGTATAAGTGACATTGCTATTAACTACTACTTCTCATAGTTATAAGGACCCTCCTCCTGGAATGATGGAGACATCCATTTTATCTTCTTTTGTTTGTATTATTTTGCCTGCCTTCAGCGAGATGCCATAAACACACAGTATTTTGAGGATGTGCTGGCTGAAACTTGCTTTCTAGCAAATGCATATCTTCAATGTTTCTCAACTTAGGCATTCAAAATCCTAGGTATCTTTGGAAACCTATACCCCCTGTGCAAACACAGGAGACTAGTAACATTTCAGGACAGCACATTCTTTATTGTTCCCACTTAGATCAGGTTTGTATGTGATAATCTCTCCAGTGAAGACTACAGATTTATGTTACAAAAAACAAAACCAAAACCACCTCCTCCCAAAAAACTCGAGTTTTACATATTCAAATATAGAAATATTGCATTACATTAAAACTACACCTGTAAATTTATTTCATTATCAGAAAGCGAAACAAATGAGCCCAATAACTTTACTGGGATTTCCTAGCTAAAATAATTCTGAGCTAGAACTGAGAAATTTGAACCTGAAGTTCAAAGTTTAAAAAGTTCACAAGATCAAAGAAGTTTATAATTATAATAGAATAACTTCCTCACCTGTCTATCTTGTAGTGTATCTCATTCCTGTTGATTTAGATATAACAATCAGTAGTGATTACCACAGAATTCATTAAAATACTGTAGAAATTATATTCCTTCATAATGAAACCTCCATCCTATCTATAACATCATTACTCTGTAGTGATACACGATCACTACTATTTACTGTATGGCAATTTTAACATCTGCAGATAAGATTTTTCACAAAAAAACATTTTCTAAAAAATAAAAATTAAAAAATTACACTGTACACTGAGAGCTATCTTAACTTGATAGGAAATTTAAGTAACTAAGAATTACCAAGGGCCAGTTTAGCCATTTGTAAATTGTTGATCCAAGACTGTTTGATGGCAGGGGTAAATGTATTGAACACGGCTGTAAAGAAAGTGGGCCGCCCAGACCTGCAAGACAAAAAAAAAAAAAAAAAAAAAAAAAAAAAAAAAAAAAAAAAAAGCCACTCTAAACACATTGAGTGTGAGATAACAGTCAAAGCTAGAAAAGCTGAGCAAGATGAAATTTCATTGTTTTCTAATACTCAAAGACACAGCTCTGATAGAAGCATGCAGGCTATGATATGCCATACACCCATCTTCCTACACTTTACACAGTATGAGAAGAACACCCTCCTCGGTGAAAGAAGGCAGCAGTGGCTGTTCCCTATGAGCTGTCACTGCCACGGTTCCTCTCTTGTTTCTTGCATCTGGAATGCAGGCTTGAGGAATGAGAGAAAAACTACAGTGCTGCCCTTGGAACATGCAAGTTGCCAGCACCGTGGCACGAGAGCAGAGGTCAGAGGCTAGCTGTGGAGACAGAAGAGGAGGAAGAGCTACAGATTCCCAAATCCTCCCTGGTACATCTATGCCTAACACATAAGCCCATTTAGAAAGTTTTGTAATCAAGATTACTACTGACTTGTCCTGTTTTCCTGGGAGTTGCAGCTGAATTCTACAGCGATCTGCCGCTCTGATTTCATCTTCTTTTTTCAAAATCAGTTTTTGTAAACCTGAGGTCCAGTCATGGGCTACAGATTGGTTTAAGTTCTGAAAAATTAAAAAAGCTAAGATTCAACGCCAGCCTACTGGCCTGTTTCCAACAGGCTAACTAAGGTGATCTCTGCATATAACAAACAATTCCTGGCACCTGGGCCTCATTTAGTCCACATTTTCATAATGGATAATTTAGCCATATCTGTAAACACATTTCAAAAATAACCCCGAAAAAATTGCTAACATATTTTACCTGATGATTTAATCTCACATTGCTCAGAATTTGATGATACCCGATGACATTCCCAAGTGTTTGTCAGATTAAGCAATGCAAATTTGCATCAGGTATATGCACAACCCTTTTACTTCATTTCAGTGAGTAATTATGCAGAACCCACAAACTCTGTTTCTAAAGAAAATCTCATGAAAACATCTCCAAATCATACTGTCAATATGTGTTCGTTCAAATCTTTGAGGCAAAACGTTAACAGAGCCACCATGAAAGCAGTCTGTGTGGCTGGAATCTGTTTCAGAGGATGCTGAAACAATAACTCTCTGCAAGCTGATTGTTTGGTCACAGAGGGTAAAAGCACACCTGCGTGACACTTAAAGCGTCAACACTAAGGAGTATTCATCCACAAAAGTACACTAATTTTCCACAGTCAGACTTTTATGAAAATTGAAGTCTTTTTCAAAAATAGAGAAGCTGACCTCACTCCTCAACTAAACCGGTCAATTATCTTACACATCTCTACCTGGAAACATTGACTGAATTTTAAGTTTTCAAAACGTAGTTGGCTCTGACTGGCAGTACAGGCAGAAAGGTTTTGTACGTGTTAATGGGTGAATGTCTTATGCTATCTGTGCTATATATATTCCCAATAATGCAGCTGAAATTCACCTTCAAATACTTGTAGAGTTTTGTTCAAAAAGTACTGTTTCCATAAACTTCCTTCACAGTACATATTTTCACAAAACATTATGGTTTATTTAATGCCCTTGACTCTGAAGGCAAGATATCCCAAGAGAAACTCAGCTTTCATATACATATTCACACACACACACACACATATATATATTTCTTTTTACAGCCTATGGTGGCAGGCAGGAGTTAAAAATTGTGCCTAAGCATACATAAAGCATATAAAACAAAAGGCAAAAGAGCAATTTTTTTAAGTCTTAAGACTGTGGAGAACTCATTCTGAAATTCGGTGTTAAAGTACTGTGTCTGTTTGTGAGAATATAAGCTAAATAAAAGGGATGTAACAAAGCCAAAGTAAATTACTTTCAAAATTCCTCTGAAAACCCTTTTATATTTTTGTGATTTGCACTCAGTCTTAAGTACAGCTCCCCCTGAAAGCCAGGATTATGAGCTCGGATGGGCACCAAGAGCTTCCTCCAAACAACCATCCTCCTACTACCTTGTCTAACTGCAAGAATCCAATTTTCTTAAGATCAAAATGTAATTCTGTTTCCATACAAGCTTATCAGCTACTGAGAAAATGCAGACACTTGTAGTATCCACCTACACTTAAAAATAATAAAGAAAAACAAGATTAGAGAGACAACTGTAATCTACTTACAGCAGTTAACAATAAATGAATTACTAGAGGTAAGATTTATTACACTCTTTACAGAGACAACTAAAGAATGTCTTGCACAGATCCTAGGGAGAGACAATTATGCTACTTTGCAACAGGAACGTATTTGAAAAATAAATCCAGCTTTGTTTATTACCTGATAGTTTCCTTTAAGGCTGCCTATTAATTGACTAATTTGACCAACTACATTCAAGTCATGTAAAAGGTTCTGCAGATCATGGTACAGTTGCCCTGGTCCCATATAGAGCTTGTCTAAAATGAATAAAAACATAAGGTTATATATAATAAAAAGATGTAATTCTCAGTTGAAGGAGGAAAGCATGACAAAGATAATAATATTAACATATATTGCTATTTCTTAACACTATGAAAATCAAGCTTATCAAAATTGGTGATGCTCTCTCTAGATTGCAAAAACAACTAATGCACTGATGTGTAGCTAGGGTCTTCATTTACTTCTGAAAACCAGAGTGGTTTATTTATACGTATGTCATCGATACTTCACTTTGCTGCTCCAGGAAATTATAGGTAGTAGTATGTTATCACACATTAGCTTTACATGTACAGGTGTTACCACAGGCATTTCCTTTTAGCTCACCTTATCATTGTCTTTTATAGTTACAATTAAGATTCAAGTTTGTTCATCTAGTATGATGGAGCGCCTTATGTGTAGTTTTAAGAAGCACACACTAGAACTGTGACAAATATCAAAGCTTCACTGGCCCCCAAATCTCTGACATGGAAGTTTTGCGTAGCACCAAGCAGCAGACCTGCTGTTACATCTCAGTTTAAACATCCTTGGTCACGTCACGAAGCAAAAAAATTTATTTGTAGCCTTCACTTGGGTTTAAAAACCCAAAATTTGTTTATCGATCACAAGACAGTTCTGGATCATATATCCACATCCTAATTCTAACATGAGCCTGCAATTCCACTGAACCACTTGAAATTTTATTGCAATTGTGGTTAAGTGAAAAAACGGTCTGCATTAAGATCAGCAACAAAACTCAACAGCAGCAGAAATATTTTTCCCTAATCATCAATAAGTACGTATGTCTATAAGATAATACTAACTCAGAAAATTATTCTGATTATTAGGATAAACTGTCTAAATGCACAAAGCTTGCAGAACCCTGCTAACACACTCTGACTCCCAGACATGATGTTAGGAGGGGGATGGCTATGTAATTCTTGTGGAAACAACACTCTCCCTCTCCCCTAAAAAACCCCACCTCAACTCGTACAGAGTCAGCATGTTTCCCTTTGGCTGAATGACAGGAACGGGGCTGGATTATCTTTCCAGGAAACCCCTGCAGATTATTTAGCTCATGCAGTGTAGTATCCAACCTACAGACCCTTAACCCTTGCCGCAAACTTTGGAAGCTAGTCTGCAGGCAGCAAACTCCTCTGGAGCAGGGGGATTTCAACCCTGTGTCGGCAGGAACAGGATCTAAATATAATGCTGGCTACCTGCCCTGCAGACAGACCAGGAGCACGGACAGGAGCCACGCCACCCGGTCTGGCTGCTGGGGCAGATCCATGCTGGACACAGCACAGCTGCCAGCCCAGACACCCCAGCACCTCCGCTCCCCAAGTCTGCTAACAGGGACCAGCATATAAACCAAAACCCAACAAACCAAGCACAAAGCTATCAAAATGGCATAAGCCAGAACAAACATGAAAAATAAACACGCACAAGACAATTATTCTTAAATCATTAGTATAGTCTCAGTTACGTATCAAAATAACCATATTTTCTAAAGACATTTTCCTATTTGGCGGGATCGTGCAGATCGAGGCCATCACCGGATGTTTTTCTTTAACGCAATTCACTATATTAAGCTAGGAGTCTACCTTTAAGAGTATAAAATTTCAAGGTTCAAGGAAAATGTTAAGGGTTACTTCATCACTGAATTCTCCAGTTCACTGCAGGAAAGTGCAACATAAACCTGAGATATTACCACATTTCTATGAAATTTCAAATTATTCTCTTGCCTTTAAATTTTTTGGTAAATTGAATCAATGAAAAGATTTCTGTGTGTTGCCCTCGAGCACTGAACAGGGGAATGACTGCACTCTACTACTATTTACCCAGCCAGAGAATAGATGCAACTTTCATCCACCCTTCTTTGCCTGTTCTGAATGTTAATTAAAAGAACAATCTAGCCTTTCTTACCCTTAAAAAACAAACCAGCCTGTAAGAAAAGATCATTACGTTTATTGTACACAATGAAAAGAAATGACTGCAAAGTAGAGCTAAGAGGAACAGTTTTGAGAGTATGGTCAGTAGAGTGTATTTGCAGATTTGTTTAAAAAAAAAAAAGTAAACACTATTCTGGAACTGCAGACTACACGCTTTTTATTAAGTTGCATTTTCACTTTCTTCAAGCCAAATACTTGAAAAATAAACATCTGAACGTTGTAAGCACTTCTCTCCTTGTATCCCTCTTCTGCTAGCTTACACCTTTTTTCTTACAGTGTCTACAATAATTGTAATTTGATAAGCACCGGAATTGCTAGTTCCCAGATACATCAAATTGCTGATTTTGATGGGGCTACTTGCAAAGAACGAGGTGGGTCAGTGTTAATAGAAGTCTGGTGAACTCTAGCCCAAAGCCACGATACTGTGTTTGGCACTGTAAAGAATACAAGTGAAATAATTCTTGTCCCAAATTTCTCTAACAAAAAGATAACTTTTGCAAAACAAAATTTAGACTGATTAGAAGTAATTGGAAGTTTAGTTGAGTTTTTGGCAGTTCATTCACTTACCTGTCATTTATAAACTCCACTACTAAACAAACCAAACCACTGCACTGAAAAACATACTACAAATATTCCTGAAATTTATCCTTGTGGGTTTGAACTGAGAAAAAATTTACAACTACCAGGCTGTGAAAAGCTGGAAGTTTGTGAGGATTCCCTTGTATAGGATGGATATTTTCACTCAAGTGAATTGCATTATTTTTAAGTTTTACCAAGATCACTCTTTGAAACTTCATAAAGAGAAGAGTTACCAGACATTTTATTTTATTATTGAAAGCAGGTTGGAGAGCCGCCACTAACCCGCAACATGTAACAGCAAACATGCAGGCAACTCTTAGGTGCTGTTGCACTTTATGCCATAGTCTTCAACTGAGGCCACAGAGCAAGCTTTAGCTACGTACATAGATGGACTGGCCCTGTGCAGTAATCGACTATGCCCAAAAAGAGCTGTCCTCTACAATCCTCTTCCTGGAGCTTCAAATGCTCTTACAAATATCCTTGTTCCAGCCTTGGGAATAAGGCATCAATCTTGAATTTCATTCAGTAATTGTCACCTGAGTCTATTTTGTCTGCACACTGCATATTTTATAAGCTTTTAATAAGTCAAGATAAAAGGGATGCAATTAAGAGTGTCAAAGCAAATAAACTAACCTGGCATGTGAAATTCTGTCATACAGAAAAACCAAACGGAAGTAATTTTAGGCTCATTCATTAAAGACCATGCTCTTAGCACAGGAAAGGAAGCGAAAAAGCAAATCAATAAATAATTAAACAGAGCCTGCTTCCATCCTCTGATGTTCTAGAAAAGACAAACGGCCAAATTAAGACGAAATTTTGTCAGTCAAGGACTAGATCAATAGCCACGGCTAGTATCATTCTTTCATTGAGGTCCTTAGTGGGCACAAACTGGAACACAGAAGAATAACTGGGCTTCAGAGATCAGCAACGACGGACTCATCAGAAGAGAGTTCTCTGAGACCTGACCACGCAGTTTGTGTCTGGGTAATGAGTTACGAGTTACAGCAATTTCATCTCTGAACTGGGTCCTGCAAGGGTTACTCACAAAGTCTTTTAAAACAGGATCAGCTTTTTGGTGGTTAACAAAATGTTGACTGCCAGCCGATGTGGCTGAGAACTGTCTGACAGAGGGTTTTTTCCTGGATGAAAGAGGTGGGGGGGCATGCTAGTCTGTTCCTTCAGAGGCATTTCTCAGTTCACAGCCAAGGACTGGCTGCTTTGGCCCACACATGTTCCCTGACTATTTGATTGCTGACTATTTTGGGGTGGCTGTTCACCCTTTCCATTTTCTACAGAAAGCACTGACAAAACTCTTGGCTTCATTCCAAAGCAGATATGTGGTTAGTTTCTTTTTGTACTTCAAAATGTTTCATAAATGATAAAGCCATTTCCTTCCCATTTCTAAGTCACTCTTGCTAATTATCAAGCTCCAAAACAACTTATTTTTCCAACGTGAAAAAAACCCTCCACGAGTTAGGAGAAGGTTCTCCCCAGATCTACACATCCGTGGTGTTAGAGAGGACGGTGTGCCCGGGAAGGAGAGAAGGCAGCGTGCTGTAACTGATAACCAGTGTACGTGGTTTCGGAGGCAACTTTTTTTGCATTCCACCTACAGAAATAGGGTGAAATCTTGGCCACATGCAAGTTAGCAGGAATTTTTTTCATCAACTCATTTGTTGCTAAGATTTTACCAGAGGAATTCATGCCTTCCCGCAACAGGCAAGTTTACTGCCAACAACCTGTAATTCATGCAAAATACTTAATTCCTTGCTCAGCATTATTGTGAAATATATTCAAGGTTTAAAAAAGACAGCAAAACTGCTGGTTGCTTTAGGGGGAGAAAAGGAGGTTAAAGTTTACATTGATTTTTGCAGCTATGTAAAATTGGGGTGGGAAGATTCTGCTTTTTGTAACAATTGCTCCTGAGCTGAGACGTATTTGAATATAATATTAAACACTTATTTTCCCTGCTCATTTCCCAGTGTTACTGCCAGCACCACAGCTTTAAATTCAACAGTTTTTGCCTGGTTTGAAGTAAATTCTTATAATTGAAACAGAAGCAATGTTAGCCCATTTGCATCCAGTCATCTTCAAAGCCTGCAGGAAACTCCCTGGGTGTGGTTGAAGTCAGTTTAACTTGGCTGAGGCAAAATTAGGATTTGGAAGGTTGTGCACAAATGTTACAGATGCAAGAGAAGCGCCCGTGTGCGAGTGCTCGGGTGCGGGCAGAGGGGGAGGATTCCCACCTCTGGCAGCAGGCTGCTTTGCTGGGGAGCACAGCCAGCAGCTCCCGCCCTCTCCCTGCATGGCCAGCGCGGCGGCAGCTGCTTTAATGGGCTCCCTTGGGATCACTCTCTATCCTGTTCCTCTAAATTATCAGTTCTCATGGGCACTGCAAGCATACTGGATATTATAATCCTGAACTGACTGTGCCCTATTCTTCCTCTCAAATAATTACTACGGGACACATT